ATGGATTTTATTTATACCGTTCCCACAATGAGGGTTTCAGAGTGATACAAATTAGGACAGTTTCCATAGTGATTTACAATTCAACATTATATTTGAAGTTTTGATCCGTAAAGTGACCAAAATGTTATAAGGCATGAAAGGTTCCAGCGGTCCTGATCCATCCATCCATCCATTTTCTTCCGCTTTATCCGTTGTCGGGTCGCGGGGGCAGCAGTCTAAGCAGAGACGCCCAGACTGCCCTATCCACACACACTTCCTCCAGCTCGTCCGGGGGGACCCCAAGGCGTTCCCAGGCCAGCTGAGAGACATAGTCCCTCCAGCGTGTCCTAGGTCTTCCGCGGGGCCTCCTCCCGGTGGGACGTGTTCCGGGCGGTCCTGATCTGAAACTTATTAATAATTCTTACTGCAAACTGCACGTGTTGTAGTGGTTAGAACTCTCACCTCTCGGCAAGAAGGTCTTCGGTTCCACTCCAGGACAGTGCTAGTCTGGCCTTAGCCATTCGTACACTCCACTTAGGCCCTGTCCACACGAAGTCAAGCTCAGGCCTAAACGCAAAAATACTTTATCAATCCAGTGTATCGTCCATACGAGGCCGGCGTTTTGGGGGGGTGTAAACGAACATTTTTGAAACTAGGTCCCAGAGTGGAAAGATTTCAAAACTCCGTATATGCCGCTCCGTGGTTACTGCCTCTCCGCAATGTATCTGAGACGCTTGCGTCATCGCCCCGCCTCTTGTTAAAGCACGCATGCGCCGCACTCAGAAAATAATGACAACAACAATGTAGCTTGTTGGTTTTGTAATCCAGTGTGACCCGAAGCAACAGTTCAACCTCATCGTCCGTCCATACTAATGTAGTACCAGCTCGCCCACTCGCCATGTTGTCTGTTTACAAAATTCCGCGCATGCCCACGGAAGTTTGGGCTTGATCCCGTCATTGCGTCACAGCGCCACCAACAGGTCTGGCATAGTTTCACAGCGTTTTCAGGCGTATTGACTACATTCATATGGACGCACACATTTACTGAGCTAACTCCGTGTTTACAGAAAAAGTTTCTGAAATTATAAGCGTTTTGTCTTCGTGTGGATATAGCCTCAGTCATCATTTCCCTGCATGTACCGTCTGGGTCTGGTCCCTGTGTTAGCAGTTACAATCCGACCAATCAGCGAGCGCAGGAGGCGGGTGTTGTGTAGACGAACGGGCAGCTTGTAGTTTAGCAATGGCGAAGAATGCAACAGTAATCCAGTCTGGTTCTACCAAGTAATTGAAGCGCGAGCAAGAGGAATGTTTAGCAAATGTAATTGCTGCCAAAAATTGTGGCGCCACTCCCCACGGGCTCCGTTAGCGGTAAAGGAGATGGCTAGGCTAAATCCTAAATGCTATTTAGCATTACAAAACGTCACGTCAGAGTAAACTCAGATCCAATCGTTTCAATCTGCAAAAGGAGTTAACCCCTCCCACCTGTAAACGGAGCTCAATGGAGCACCTCCAGACCTTAGTACGAAATGTAATTTGTACTGTGGTGTGGTACGACCAGGCTAGGCCAGTACGGGCCCTTACTGGTTTTGCATACTCTGTCCATGTCTGCTCCAGTTTCCTCCGGGCGCTCCGGTTTCCCTTGGGGTAATTCTGGTGTATTTACAGCTATTGTTAGTACAGCGGTTCTCAAAGGGGGTTGCAGGGCACTTTCTGGGGATCGTGAGATTTCTAGATATCATTTTGAAATTATCCCAATGTATTTAATAGATTTTTAAAAGAAAACATGACTTTGTTATAAAAATCTAGGTACAATAATAAACACATTATTCAAATAAACAATATATGACAATATTTAATGCTTCATTTCATTATGGTTTTCATTTTAATTCCGCTCTGGGGGTGTGAGTTAGCTGAATTGAGTTGACCCATTATAAATGCTTGAATAAATGTAATGATAATTTGTATTTGTTGTATTTTCATTTTTGTGTTTTGTTCAAGTCAGAAACCATTTCCCGACAGATTCAGGTTTTCTCCTACTTTTACATTGTGCACTTTTCATTATATGCAAAATGTCTCTCGACTTACAGTATGTGTGGATGTACGGACGGTGTTAAATGATTCGCTATTCATATTTTCTACTGAAGACCACATTCATTCATCAGAAGTTCTTGTGCTAAAGGCTTGTGTGCGCGGCGCTTACATTATGCTAAGCTTTAACTTCATTTGCAGCTTTTCCAAATCACCGTAACCATTTAGCCGCCAGCTGCTGTCTGCTGCATACTTAAACTCTTCACGTTATGCTAATAAAGCAGCTATTCTTTCCACTCAGTTGAGCCAGTTATGACTTTTGTACTGACCGCCGCCACCACCAGCATCTCGCGGTCATTAGCACATCTGACATTTTTCTGTTTTTCACACTCACAGAGAGAAGAAGGATTTCAGAGCTGCCTAATGAAGCTAGCCCCACTGCGCAAATCTCATAGAGCCCATGTTGTTGCACCTTTTTGAGTGAAGGTCATGAGCTCGCTGCAGTCTCCTCCTAATTAAAAACTTTACATTTAAAGAAGATTCTCTGTTAGTTTTGGTCACATTCAGTCACAATAACTCTAATGAGAATCTGCGATAAAGGCAAAAAAGTTCTGACTGACCTGAGCACACGGCACAAAGCTGATTTCTAAGTTTATGCAAATAGACGCCACATTGTTTTTGTATGACTTGTGACTTTTTCTTAAACCCCTCTCCTGCAGATTTGACCTTCTGGTTCTACGTGAAGGAGCACTTAAATCGCCACGAGCTGCAGCGGTTCTACTCCCTGCATCAGATCTCCTCGGAGCTGGGCCGGGGCCGGGCCTGGCTCCGCTGCGCCCTCAACGAACACTCGCTGGAGCGCTACCTGCACACCCTGGTGGCCGACCGCACGCGCCTGAGGTTTGTTTAACCCCGTGAAGAAAAGAGAGAAAGGAAAGATCGCAGGATTACTATAAGAGAAGGTCTTGATGTAGCAGAGCACAGACAGGACAGTGGTAAGAGCACACAAGGAGAAGGCAAAATGTACAAAATAAGTGGCTTCAAAGCTTCTTATCCATCTTTATCACCCTCAACTCATCTGTTCAACAAGTTTCTGACACCATAACTACACCACCCTCAGATTCATGGTGTTAATTTTACTTTGTCTTGAAGCTGTATTGTAACTGTCTTGAAATGTACCATGTTTATTATTATGATTGTTAAATGCGTCATAAGAGCAGCAAGTAAATATAAATATATCATAATATCATAATCATTAAAATCACACAGGGCTTTAAAAAAACATGCAACATTCAAAACATAAAAATGTAAATCGAAACCAAGTGTGTCAAACTGTTCCTCAAAGGGCCGGTGTGGTTGCAGGTTTTAGTTCCCACATGAACAGCAGCAGAGACTCATTTCCTCATGTGACTCCAGGTTTAACTTGAGGATTTGACTTTAGCAGTTCTCGTTGTACAGTCTGACAGAAGAAGGAAGGAAAGACCTGTGGAGCCCCTCCTTCACACAGCGAGGGATAAACACCTGCTTTTTATGCTTTTATCCGTGTGAAATGTACTGATTTACATTAACTTTGGACCACAGTCAGATTATATTCAGTCGCTTTTGCAAACTAAGTAACAGACAACTGTGAAGTGAACGCAAAGTAATACATGGTTATTATTATTTTGTTTTATCAAAATAAAAAGTGGTGCTTGCCCAAAAAAATAACAACCGAAGAACTACAGTACCAGTTGTATTAGTACTTTTACCAGTCGCTGTAAGCCTGTTCAGTCTCATAAATGCATTATCTCCAAATGATAACAAACTACTTCAAGTACTTTTAATACACTTTCCATAGTTCTTTTGTTCTTAATTTGCATTTTTCCATTAGAGACCTTTCTGAATTATAAGTTAGAACTGACTTTTAATTTTTGTATTTGTTTCTGTTTTCCAGCACATATTATGAGGACTGGTCTTTTATTCTGGATGAAGAAAGGGCGAGTATGCTCCCGACGATGGCGGCAGGTTAGTGATTTTCAGATTTGTTTCGAGGCAAGCACAATTATACTAATAAACTTAACAGTATTTGCACTAAAAATATAGGCTCCATTTACACCATAATGTGAGCCTCAGATGTGTAGACGAGAACCAGAGAAGCTACATGTGAGGGACCAGAGAGGGACCAGAGAGGGACCAGAGAGGGACCAGAGAGGGACCAGAGAGGGACCAGAGAGGGACCAGAGAGGGACCAGAGAGGGACCAGAGAGAACCAGAGAGGGACCAGAGAGGGACCAGAGAGGGACCAGAGAGGGACCAGAGAGGGACCAGAGAGGGACCAGAGAGGGACCAGAGAGGGACCAGAGAGGGACCAGAGAGAGACCAGAGAGGGACCAGAGAGGGACCAGAGAGAGACCAGAGAGAGACCAGAGAGAGACCAGAGAGAGACCAGAGAGAGACCAGAGAGAGACCAGAGAGAGACCAGAGAGAGACCAGAGAGAGACCAGAGAGAGACCAGAGAGAGACCAGAGAGAGACCAGAGAGAGACCAGAGAGAGACCAGAGAGAGACCAGAGAGAGACCAGAGAGAGACCAGAGAGAGACCAGACCATATTAGTTTTCTGTCTAGTCTCTCTCCCTTCCCATGATATGATCCTTCACTCACACTCATCGTTGTAAATAAGAAATTCCAACAATTTCATACAGAAAACCCATTACCGCTCAAATAGCATCATTATATATGCGTATAGTTGCCCGTAGGATTACTCACTGGACTCTTCTCATTTCATGACTCAGTAAAACAGAAGGACTTCTCAAATAAATATGCCATAGTTATTAAGAATTTATATTTAACTGAAACAAACCTAAAATATGTATGTCTTGTATCATTGATCTCATGCCAGCTAAAAGCCACGTCCTGCTTATATAATAAACATACCCTGCCAATATCCGACTATACTTACCAAGTGCTTTCAATATTCCATGCAACTTTATTTTGATCAGAAGTGAACTTTTCTGTGACTCTAGGCTTGAACTCCATCCTGTTCGCCATCAACATCGACAACACAGACCTGAACGGAGGCGTGACCCGTGGGGGCAGCTCGGCAGTGTCCAACCTGCTGAAGGAGTCCACACAAGGCATCGGCAGTCTGCTCAAGGAGTCCACGCAGGGGGTCAGTAGTCTGCTGCGGGAAATCAGCACCGCCACCGCTGTAGTACCAGGATTCACCCCTAGAGGAGACGGAGGCTCCGACCCACTGCCAGTCCTGCCGAGGAGCACCTCTGCCGGTAAGAAACCATGTGGGAAGTGGTTTGCTCCTGGAGTTTGTTTGTGAGTGACTTATTATGTAAAAAATACTATTGCAATAGCTACAATAACACACATGAGTGAAAATGTCGGAAAGGATAATATACAAGTTTGTTTTCTTAAATAAAATAGCCTTAAAGCTGTATTCAGATGTGTAAAGCCTTAACTACTTAACTATTGCTCACTATGCGTCCAAATCTCTGAGTATGTACAGAGTGTAAGAATATGGAGTGTGCTAAAAAGAGACTTTGGTTAAAGTTGCTCCCAAACCGGTCTGACCGCTCTGCTTCATCCCATCTATCAGGATAAGGCTTGTGACGCTTTCAAAGGCATCTCATAACTTGGCCTTAAAGCTGCACTAACAAACTTTGAGAAATTTTCGAATGCGAGCGAATGCTAACCCCCCCCCCCTTTCAGCCTTTGCTCACATGCTAAATGTATACGGAGCTCACGGTCTCACAATATGGATCGCACATTTGAACGTAGATGGCATGACCATAGAATGATAAAACCGGGAAGCGCGGAGGAACGAGACTTTCTTTTCTGGATGGCTGTTTCGCTGTGTAAGCAGTAACCGGTAACAAAGACACGCCGCTTGTTTACCTTAGCTGTCTGTGCTAACGAGAGACTTGTGGCTTTTCTCAAGAAAGCGGGGGCCAGTGGTTCACTGTGATTGGTCACAATCTGGACCCAAACACATTCTTTTCCTTGTATCACGAAAACTGGATCTGGACATTTTCTTCACAAGGACGTATATCCCAATGCACTACATGGATATGGATTGAATTTTTGTAATAAAAACAAAAATAAAGTCATTTGGTGCAGCTTTAACACTAAAATGTTGGAACAGTAATTGCAAATACATTGGGTATTACATATACCTTATAACACACTTTTCATATTCCATAGCAGCAGCGCAAGTCTATAATTTCTACAGCGCAAAATAATGAAACAAGTGCGGAGGGACTGTACTTAATCACAACGATGGGGGGGAGTGTGCTTTCAAGCGCATCAAGTCGTTTTGTCTCAGTAGTTTCTGGTTCACCTGGTTACATGATGTGTAAACAGAATAGATCTGGTCGAATCCAGTCAAATCCAATACAAATGGACGGGATTTTAACTCTCAATCACAGAGCACGGGTTTAAATGCTCGATCGATTTTGATTGGACGAGGAGAGTTATCCATTTTGCTCTAGTGCTTTGTAAATGTACTTGATGTAATAAATTGGTCCTAAACAGGAGGAGACTACTCTTTCAGAACTAGTTTCCACCTCCACTTTCCTTTCACCAGACTCGGGCCTGCGAAAAGAGCGACGCAAGAAGAAAAAGGTCACCAACATCATTTCCTTCGACGATGACCTGGACGGAGGTGCAGAGGATGAGGAGGAGGCCGAGGAGGAGCACAAGAGCCTGAGGCAGAGTCACACGGCCCCCGCCCAGCCTCAGAGCAGCGTGGAGGAGGGCATCGACCCACTAGAGAACAGCTACTCTGCTTTTCCTGCCCACAACGGAGTCTCGGAGCCGGGGATCGGGAGCTGGGTGGGCTCGCCTCACGCCCACAGAACCCCCGCCATCAACACGCCGGCCATCAACACGCCCGCTCTGCCCGACAGCAAGAGCCTGGACAACGAGGAGGAGGAGGAGGAAGAGGAGGCGTATAAGTCCAGGGTGCAAGAGAGGGAGGAGAGGATCTGCTCGGAACAGTAAGTAAAAATTATAATCCTTGTTCAAATACAAACATGACAGTTGTTTAGTTTGAGCCAGTTTAATTTACTGCAAAAACTTTAAATATCCTCCTTACTCGCAAATAACTTCAATAAACTCTGAGGTTCATCAATAGTTAAACATTCTGTGATTTCGCAAATTTATCTCATCTCAATAATCTGAATGAATGAATGATTGTTTTTATTTGGACATTTGATATGAGTAAAACAAAACAAAAGCAATGTTTGATTAAGTAAAATAAATAAACAATTGATGTCCAAAATAGGAGTGGGAAGAAGTAAAAATAATCTTGTGTAATCCCACCCCTACTTACAACTCTGATTTTACAAAATAAATATCTTCCTTTACCAAATACAACCTAGCGCTTGGAAGTTTTTAACATGCTTCACGAACATATTTATCAAAAATAATGACTTTGTATTTGTTTTTAAACTCAAATATTGTTTGACATTTTTTAAAGTTTCTCGTCCAATGTATTCAATTTTTTAACTCCACTGACGGTAACAATGACCAATCAGCTCTCATTGAAACATTAAAGTCCCAGGGCTCTTACTTACAGGTACGCAATCAATATTTCTTCTATGGCCGATAAAAATGGAATAAAGTAGTCTTGATATTTTTCCCCTAAAAGCTCTCGTTCTGTAAGGAAAAGGCAAAACTTTCAATTAGGATCGCTATAAAAGTGCTGTAAAGTGCCACTCCTCAGACATAAAAACTGGATCCAGACTGTCGTATGGATCACCTTCAGATGTTCCTTGTCCCAAGTTTCCTGATTTTTTTTTTTTTCAATATTTAGTAGGCAAGGGGAGTTTATATGTATAGCACAATTCATACACAAGGCAACTCAAAGTGCTGAACACAATAAGAAAGCATTAAAATCATAAATAATCACAGTACATTAAAAAGAAAGATTAAAATATAAAATCCCTCAGTTGTATGCACAGCTAAACAGAACTGTCTTTAACCTGGTTTTAAACATTGTCAGAGAGGAGGCCTGTCTCACATCTTCAGGAAGACTGTTCCAGATTTTAGCATGAATCTGAAAAGCAGCCTCCCCATGTTTAGTCCTGACTCTGGGCACTAACAGGAGTCCAGTCCCTGTGCTCCTCAGAGACCCAGCAGGAGTCCAGTCCCTGTGCTCCTCAGAGTCCCAGCAGGAGTCCAGTCCCTGTGCTCCTCAGAGTCCCAGCAGGAGTCCAGTCCCTGTGCTCCTCAGAGTCCCAGCAGGAGTCCAGTCCCTGTGCTCCTCAGAGTCCCAGCAGGAGTCCAGTCCCTGTGCTCCTCAGAGTCCCAGCAGGAGTCCAGTCCCTGTGCTCCTCAGAGTCCCAGCAGGAGTCCAGTCCCTGTGCTCCTCAGAGTCCCAGCAGGAGTCCAGTCCCTGTGCTCCTCAGAGTCCCAGCAGGAGTCCAGTCCCTGTGCTCCTCAGAGTCCGGGCCGGTTCATATGGGACTAACATGTCACTAATATATTTTGGTGCGAGGCCATGGAGAGACTATTAATTGGGCAATACAAAATAAAAAATGTATATCTTTCAATATGTCTCCATAACTTTGCTCTGTGTGGTGCTAATGTACTCTATATATAAAACACAGAGACAAACAAACCCTGGTGAAAACATAGCCTTCTCTCTTATAACAAATGCAGTGTTGTGTCGGAGTTGAAACAATTATTTACTTTACTTCACTTCTTATAATATTCAAGTCTAATATTTAGATTTCTAAAGTTCAAATCGATTATCTGTGTGCATCACGAGTCATTTTGTGTCTGGCATAAAAAATCTGTTTTTCAGACTGGTGGTGGGCAGTCTGTCCAGCGTGTCCACGTGGAGCCCCCTACAGGCGATGGTAGCACACAGCAGCTCTGACATCCTCATTCCAGTGAACCCTACTGACCCCCAACCAGGTGAATAAAACAGTCTATAAAATCCCGAATGATGATTTTATTTTATTTTTGGTCACAACCCCCTGGTGGCCGGAGCGTAATTCTGCGTAAACACAGTCATTATAAACCTGGAATAATATAAAACTATACAAAAAAAGTAAAGAAGCTTGTACTGGTTGATTATTGATTGCTAGCACTGGTAATTAAGCAGTACTAGCTTCTTTACATTTTTGGTCTTGTAAAGAGAACCTGCTAAGCCTTAAAAATGAGAAGACAAAATTTACTTTTTGCATTTAAACAATACAGCCGTGACACTGAGATGTACATACTGAGTCAGAGAAATGCATTAAGAACAATTACTCAACTTTATGTCACAGTGGACCCAGACATCAGGCTTAGACAGCACTGGTGACTTGTTGGAGCTTAATTCAGTTAGAAGTTACTTATATATTCGCTAAAGTTACCAGGGAGGGGTTGACGATGTAATTTCACTAATATTCTTTTGAAAAAACCCTCAGCTTCAGCACTTGTCTTCTGTAGGTTGAGTGTTGATGTATGTCCATGTTTTTCTCCTGGAGACCACTTGGCTCCGTGGTTTATCGCCGGCAGACATGATCTTTGTGTGAATTTCTTGGAGTCTGTGTTTAGCTCTCAGACCTGACCTGAAGTTTTAACACACACAAATACATCCTTACAGTCCCTCAGACAAATGCATAATCAATCATGACTGAGTCCATTCCGTCTCATATTCGTCTGTGGGTGTTGTGATTGCTCGCTGGTGTTTCCTGCTAAGAGCTGCTGTAACAGGCTTGATAGAGATCAAGCTCATATCTGGGAAGAGTCTCTAACCACATACTTCGGCTCGTTCTTCCAGTAAGTTCTGTGGAGGATTCGGCTGCATTTCCTGCTCAGAGCGATTCCACCATCGACAACTGTGAGAGCGGGAGTCTGCAGCTAACGTTCAAGTAAGTATTGGTTTGTGAAACGAGCTGGAGTCATCTATGCCAGAGTTGTGTTTGGAAAATGTTTGCGTTTTTGTTTCAGCCTGGAGTCCACCCCGCCGCAGCCTGCTCCCATCTCCACAGCCCTGCCCTCGTCTGCCTTGCCGGAGACGATGTCAGTGGGTGAGTGTTCTCTCCGGAGCTTCTGTTGTTCCTAAACCGGTTTTGTGGCTTGAAACATCATGTGATAAATTCCATGTGTCAGCTTTTCTTGATGTATACAGTGGACATTTTCTCCAGATCTGGAAAAGATGGGTCCACATGTGCATAATGGATATATTGTTTTTGAAAATTATATTATAAATGGATGCATAATACCCATGTTATTATTATTAATATTGTTTTAATGAACATATAATATTTGTTTGTTTTTTAAATACATGTAAGGGCACGGTAACATAGGTTTTTACAAACTAACCAGGCCAAGTGGCCCGGATCGTCGCCACACGGGTGCGAAAACGGCCCGCGGTCACATGAACTTGTTGTCTGAACCGTGCCAGAGTAGTACCTGGTCCAGCTGGTGTCGCTAAATATAACTCCAGTGACTACCACGTTGTTGCTTTTTTTCCTTTTTACATGCTTTCACAGGCTCGAGCATGCAATGCGTTGTTTGCATCAGAGCAATGTGAACAAGTGTGAGATTTGTCTTTCCCCAAAATGCAGCGGTGGGACACGTGTGTGTTGTCTGTGTGTACGGGCGCGCTGCGGACACGGGAGCGCGCCTTTATAGTAACGAGCGTTATATGAAAGGTTTAACACAAGTGGAGAATACGAAAGTGCAGGGAGAGACTGTGTGAAAATGCGTGTCACAGGAAGACATAATGTGACGCACAATATGAAGTCCCCCACCACACCGCACCCCCCACTCCCCACCACCTGCCACACTGACCCCTCTCATCCGCGCTGGGAAGCGGGCCCTTGCCGCAGTTTTGATCCGTGTCTCACATTGCACCTAAAGCCCGGATCTAATCGCGAAGCGGGCCCTGGCACACTTTAACCGGTCTGATCCAATTTTAGGCCCGTGAGCCAATTGTGGTCCTCCGTGTCATTTTATGGGCCCCTCTGCCTTGTTACTAACGCAAAGTATTTAGTGTCATCCAGCCAACTTCAGCTCAGAACCTCTGGAATTCAGGCGTTGACTTTATTTGTATGAGCTGACGTTTTGATTCTGTCACAAAACATTAATATGAGAGATAGTAATTTGTCATTCAGCCAACTTCAGCTCCATCCCAGCTAATTATAATGCTCTGAACAGCCCGAAGGCAAAACATTTTTACAATCCTGGTTGTCGCCCCCTGGACAAGTCTGTTAAACTTACTAACGTACATACCCATATCATACACAGGTAAAACTCTGCACATTTTCAACATATGCTAATTTTTGGAGAGGTTTTATTTGGGTTTTTTATCAAGCTGTGAGGCTCAATACATCTCCCTTTGTGTGTAATGAATCTGTAATATAGTAATTTAGGATTATGCTTTGTAAATTGAAATGCAGAACTAAAGTTTGAACCCGAGTTTCACCTGAATCTATATATTTTGTAACTTATTTACTCAAAAAAAGAGAATGTTTTAGAAAAAAATGCTATTGTTTTTTTTTACAGTTTAAATTCACATTGTCAAATTAATATCACATTAAAAGTGCAAACCTTTCTGATCTTTGTTTCGCGCCATTCCAAAGTCCATTCTCCGCAACAATCCTATCATTAAAACCTGGTGTAGCATTTGGTTAAGTTCATACTTTGATCACCAGGTGGCACTATTGCTCTACATAATAACTACCACTCCTGCTCTCTCCCAAGTACCCACAAAGCCGCACAGGGGACAACTCTGCTGCTAATAATATCAACGAACAGATTTGAGGTTTGGGTTGAATATTAGAGTTATAATTGAATCCCGACAGCCCAGCGCCGGCTCTGACATGGCTGTATGTGATGGCTCCATTGTTCCGGTGGCAGAGGTGGACGGGGGAGGTGAGCGGAGGGGAGCCAGACATCCTCAGTCGATTAGGCTTTTGTGAGAGGGGGTCACAGGGTCTCGCGGAGAGGGGGCCCGTACAAAACACCCGGGCAAAACTGATAGAAATAGTCTTCAAAGTCTGGGGAGGTTGAGGGAAGCAGAGACGTACAACTTTAGACACAGCTGTACACTCTGTGATACTGGATTTGAAGGTATTGCAGAAGGATTGAATACAATACAATACAATACAATACATAATAATGGTAGAAGTATGTTTGTATAAAGGCTTTTTGTTGTTGAATTGTACAGTTGAGTCTGGGATTTATTGTATGTTATTGCAGTTAGAATTTCAGTTAAAAATGTGTTTCTTTAATATCATAGAAATGGTGTCTGTCTATCCTCCAGTGATCACACAGCTCCTTTATCTACAAAGAGAAATTATGAAATGCTCAAAAAACTCTTTGTGTGGGTTTCTGTCGACAGATATTCAGTTATTGGTTCATATTCCCACATGAATTGCTTCCATCTCGCTCAATCTAAACTCAGAGTCCATCCAGTCTTAAATATACTATATCTATTATACTAAATGTATGATACTATATGTATTGTACTAAAAAGGCACACCAGAAATTGTATAATTTTACAAACTGCGAATGATTGAAAACAATTTTCTTATAGAAAAAATTATATTCGACCTACGTCTATACGTCTATACGGCACGGTGGCAGAGTGGTTGGCGCACATGCTTCACAGTAAGAAGGTTCTGGATCTGATACCACCTCCAGACCTTTCTGAGTGGAGTCTGCACTTTCTCCCTGTGTCTGCGTAGATTTCCTCCCGGTGCTCCGATTTCCGCTACCACATCTTGAGTGAGTGACAGTGGTGGTAAAATGTTTGTAAAGCTACTTGATTCTAAATTAAATTCTCAGACCTGACACTTGGGGAGGGATATGTACAGGAGGCCAGTCCCTGTGCTCCTCAGAGTCCGATTAGGTTCATATGGCACTAACATGTCCCAATGATGGCAATGGCAGCTCACACATGATTCTCTGCAGTAACTGTGAGCATTCATTGGAATAGTTGTCCGGAAAAAAGAGTGGGACATGTAAAGAGTGTGGGTGGTTCTGTGAGTGGGCAGGAGCAGGAGCAGGAAGTGCGCTGCGGCTCGGTGTGACACGCATGAGTCCGAGCGAGCGGCGGCTGATTGGAGACTGGAGTCTGTAATTCTCAAAGTACCTTGATTACGCGGCCCAGGCCTCTCTAATGCCGCTATTAGTGGAGTCTCCAGACGCGGTTTGAACGTCTGGTAGACAGAGGGCGTCGAGCCTCGTGCACTCTAATGGAATAGTGACGGTGGACTCCGCTGTGAAGAAAAACTGAAAGGTCATTCTTATTTCTGGTGTGAGAGATGAGGAGGTGAAATCATATACCGCATTTTCTTCAAGCAGTCAACTCAAGGACTGTTGTTGTTGTAGATGTTAGGGCTGGGCGATATGGCTGAAAACTATATCACAATATCATTCATATCTCTGAGGACTTTACAAAGCTGTCAATTCACCAACACAGATCAGAGAATCAAACAGTTCAAACACCGAAAATGCAATGATTAAAAACGTAGATAGAGCCATTGGGCCATAAGGGGCGGATGACCAATGTCCATGGATGTTAATAAATGTCATTGAATGTCCTGGAACATCACCACTGTCCTTAGTCCGTCCTGCAAAGATAAACTTTCCATTTACTATGTTTACTCCAAATTTAAACTTTGTATCTTGGCTCAATAAACAATTCTTACAGGCTGATTTTGATCCCAAAGGTCAATTAATCTGGCATTTATTCTAAAGGGTCCATATTTTGCTCTTCTACATTTTTGTGTGATAACAATTTGGATGATACATCACACAACACTGAAATTATCGCCGTTTCTTGCCGAGGGGTCATGTCACTTCCATTGAAACAAGCTGATCTATGCTCCTTCCCCTGTGAGCCTGATGTAGCCTCTCGCTAACTCTGACGTAAACAAGTTAGCTTGAGAGCTAACTGTTCAGCTTTTCAGGTTCATAGTCCTTTCAGACCTGAGAATTTACTTTTACCATCAATGTTGATCCCTCAGATAGAGCCCTATGTCCTTTATCCAGAATCGGACCCTAATTATTTAGTTAACAGTGGTACATGGCGTTGGTAGCATTGTACTTACAGATCTGTGCTCCTAGATAGCATCTGTTATTGTGGGGATAACACCAGGTTTAAAGATCAGCTTCTGAGTAAGTCCAGTTTCATGGCACCCATCGTTTTTAGCTTCAGAGGCAGATACCCTGAATAAAGTCGAGCTCCATTTTCCGTCTTTGGGCCATATATTGTTGTCAAATACTTGCAGTCACATGATGCTAACATTATTAGTCGCTGACAAAAAACAGTAAAGCTCTATGTGGTAGACCTGGGATCGTACCCTGAACTCGGGAGAGGCTGTGCTTGCTGATTCCCTGTTTCTCCCGTTTCTCCTGCTGTCAATCACCTCCTGTCAATCAGCATATATATTTACATTTTAAACTCAGAGCCTTCTGCAGCTCGTGCCCGCTATCGATGTGGTGCGAGACACAGATGTGGACCCAGTCGTTTTGCTGGCTCTCAAAAATGAAAGGGAAAGATTACTCTCTATCTAAAGCTTGAAAGAATCAAAGAATAAACTCCTTTGGGCATGTGTATGAAGGCCAATTAGCACTGTTATGATGTTTAAAGCTTAGAAAAGTCAAAAAACTTAATATGGAAGCAAGTATAAAGTACTGTATATTCTAGAGCAAGCTTTACATAGTTGTAGTGATACATTTGTACATGTTAGCAGCATGAGGGTAGGGGACAAAGTGGCTAAGTAAGTGACAGTGGACACGTGTGGTTCTATATTCACACAAAGAGGACCCTATTACACTTTCGATTACATCATCTTGAACACGAACTGACATCACGGTTGCACTTGTGAGTAATTGCCCATAAATGATTCATATTACACTCAAAATATGACAACGATTTGCTCTAAACGCCTGAATCTGAGTGAATGAAACACGAGCACATTACTGGGCCCTAATGCGCTCATATGTTGTATAAATTATATTAAGCACATCATAAAAATCTGCTCTGCATTAGATGACATATTATGCTAAATAGACTGTTTGAGATTTTAACCGTGTTTTAACATTGTCCCCTCATCAACAATAGACCTGGAGGAGTTATGTCTAAAAGCCTCAGTCCTGTTATAGTGTGATGTCATTGTACCACTATGACATCACACTCTTTTGGACTGAATTCTGAGAAATTCCCTAAAAAGAGAGTTTTCAAGGGTTGAGAAAAACTGGCGAATGTAACTGAAACACAGCAAATAACAGATGGATGAAAAGTGACCAAACGCTAACTAACCTGCTTGCAAGTAAACGGTGTGTTGCTGTGGTAACAAGCACTCTCTGTTCTGGTGCAAACCAAAGCCGACATTTCACCTTGTAAAAACTACTTGCATTTCAAACGTATAAACAAAGAGATAGAAAACGGCGGCTGAGTGGATACCGCGCTCCTGCATTCGAATGGCAGTCGGAACAGGGACTAAAAACATGCACAACAGGTTCATCCTATAGCTAAAGGTACGGTATATGTACTACGGCGACCACTGCTTCTGACCAATGCCCTAGTGGCAGTGGAGGATGGGGCAAATGTAGAGGAAACACGTCTCCATCCATCCATCTTCTTCCCCTTAATCCATTTCTGGGTCGGGGGTGGCAGTCAGAGATGTTCACAGAGCACCAGCCCCTCACTGATCCTCCTGCAGGGGGCGAGTCCATTAAAGGAAAAATTTACATTTATGGGGGCGACAGTGGCTCAGTTGGTAGAGCATTGGCCTTAGAGCCTGAAGGTCGTGGGTTCGAGCTCACCTCAAGACCTACTTCACGACTCCCACTGATGACTGCTGTCGTTGTGTCCTTGGGCAAGTCACTTAACCCCACTTTGCCTGAAGCCCCTGCTGAATAATCAAGGCTCCTGTGGACTCACCACCTGCTGGAGGATCAGTGAGGGGCTGGTGCTCTGTGTACTGGGTGCAGCTCTGACTGACACAACCCCGACCCAGAAATGGAATAAAGGGAAGAAAATAGATGGATGGATGGATTTACAAATATCGTATATACGTATCGATACACACAAATGTAAATCCACGTCCAGCTATTATGTTCTATACAATAATACAGCTGTGTTTGCGGCTGGTAGTTTTGGAATTTATAACAAAACAAAAACCAGGCCTATTTTTGAGGTAAAACCCCCCCCCCCAAAAGTATAAAACCAAATTATCTGTTATTAGTGCTCCAAAAAAAGAGTAATTCACATTGCTTTTTTCAAGGATAATGAAGGGATAAAATAAAAATCCTTTGCAATATAATAATAATAATAATCAAATATTGTTCTATATTAAGTGAAAGTGCCTCAAACCTTTCCCTCTTTGTTTCCCACTTTAGTCTCATTATAGTTTTGAATTGCATAATAGTTGTTCCCACTTCAGCATTAGGCTGTTTGAGCCTGCAGACTCTTGGCACATACTGTCCATGTACATTCACACCGGCTCTTTCCATCTCCTCCGTTGTCATGGGGAGCTCAGCCTGACAACCGCTCGTAAATCATACATGAGGAATTCTAAATAGACATTTTTTGTATTCTCAGTCTGCCTCTTAAAATACGATCCGCAGCCTAAACCTTCAGACACTTCCCATCCAACAGAAACATTGATTTATGTAATTTCAGGGGTGCTTGAGGAGCTTTGAGTCTGGAGCAGGTTCGGTCTTGGGCCTTTTGAGAAAGATATGTTGTTTCACATAAATAAGAATTCCTGATACATCTCATTTTGTTCATAGAGGAAAAATACCAATGGTTATAGACAAGGGTTCCCATTTTTTTCTAGCCAGGACCCCAAAATTGGCCTGAAACTGACTGACTGATGTAAACAATGAAATATAGTAATCACTTGAAGCATCAACACTTTTCAAAGATGCTAATTTACAAGTTTCCTTATTGTCTTATTGTTGCTTGTACCAGAAATAAGACAAAAAAGTTATACTGTAGAAATGAATTTTTTTTTTAATCACAACAGTCAGACTTGGAGGACTTTACAAAATTGCCGATTCACCAACAACAGATCAGAGAATCAAACTTGAACATAGGAAAAACAATAATAGCAAACACACAGGAGCCATTGGTCCATAGAGAGCGATCGGGACTGTCCTTTAGAATCTCCTGCGTCGACGAGGAACGACTCAAAAAAGTGGGGAAAAATGTGGGAAACGCAGACGGGTCCCACGGAAAGACAGGCTGACAGGCATGTCAACCTCAAGACAATTTTTTGTGGCGACAGTGGCTCAGTTGGTAGAGAGTTGGCCTTTGAGCCTGAAGGTTGTGGGTTTGAGCTCACCACAAAACTTTCTCCAGCGACTCCCACTGTCTGCTGTTGTTGTGTCCTTGGGCAAGACACTTAACCTCTGGGAACACCAGCCACAGTGGGTTAGGGTTAGTGGGGCGGCTGCATTGATTGTTATGGGTTTACCAAGCCATGTTTTACATTATATTTTTTCTCAGGACAACAACAACATTTTATTTATTTGAAATTTTAACCCAATACATTCTTATTGTTTAAAAAAATTGGTAAAAATTATAATGTAATTTTATCTGTTTGTTATGTTTATGTGTAACTTTCCTCTTGGCCAGGACTCCCTTGAAAAATATGTTCTTAATCTTCGGCCCGTGACCAAAATGAGAGACCTAAGAGATATTTTGTCGTTGTTTTGACATCATGGTAGTTAACGCATTAACTGCCATTGACGTATTTGTCTGAGACCGGGGATTTCTGTCAAACTTCTCTCTATTTAACTGGGGATTACAGGACAACAAGAATAGCTAGAAACAAAAACAAAATTGCTGATGATAATAGACAATCCAGTCTTTCAGAATCTGGTTTCATATTTCACATAGTCATAGCAGACAATATTCTGTGGGTCTTGAGAATCGCTGAAATGATAAAAAATGGCTGGCAGTCAATGAGTTAAGAGTCCTCTTGCCACTGACTTGTCTTTTCCTCTTCTTTTAAACACGGCCAAACCTGCCATGGGAGAAAATGCAGTTAAAAAGTTCGAACATTATGTTATCCAGCTTCATCCATCTATATTGAATTATTAGAACTGCTTTTGGGGCACAAACTAAATTTCATCAGTGTGTCTAAGAACAGCGTAACAATATAAAGGCCGGTAATGAGTGGGAAAGTTGTATTTACCCCACGGATTTGGTGACGTTTGGAGAAAAACATTTACAGCAGCAACAAAACAACCATTTTAGTCTGGTGATATATATTTCCTTACACTTTTTTAATACTATTGACGTTATTAAGGCGGTGTATGTGTTGTGGTTTGAACAGATCAGACCACAACATGGAAGAAAACAGTTTTATCTTTTGTCTGGACCAGTGTAAAACCATGAACACTGTACTGCAGCAACAACTCAGGAAGAAAAAAAGCAATAAAATACTTGGATAGATTTTATTACACAGTTGCTTTTGTTTTGGTCTGAAGGTTGGAAATAACAGCTTATTATTGCGATGAAATGTTCAACATAAATTGATAAATATTGGTGTTTTTGGTTTGTTTGCATCAACAATATAGAAATGATGATGGTAAAAATCAGGAATGTCATGATGAGTATATATAAGATTTTTGCTTCTACCTTCTCCTTTTGAGCTTACTTTCTTTTTTGAATTGTATGTGCCTGTAAAACTGCTCTGAAATGAAAACACTACTACTGCTTCAAAGCATTTGATGGTCCTAATTGAACATAGACATTAAGATTTTTGTCTTTTTTTGTCTCCGAACCTTATCAAATTGTAGTTTTTATTCAGTCTTACCAAAGTGATTGGCGTTATACAATAATACACATTTGTTAAAAACAGTATTTTTACAGAAATGTGATACTTTTTTAAATAAGATGTCAAAATGAATTATCTTTTTTTGTTTTTTGCAGTGGAGCTCCGCCAAGCCATTGTAGCCATGATGAATCGCAAAGATGAGCTGGAAGAGCAGAACGCGTACGTCCAACACGCACACACGCACGCACACACGCACGCACGCACACACACGCACACACACGCACGCACGCACGCACGCACGCACGCACGCACGCACGCACGCACGCACGCACGCACGCACGCACGCACGCACGCACGCACGCACGCAAGCACGCACGCACGCACGCGCGCACACGCGCACACGCGTACACACGTACGCACAATGTTAATTCATTCCAATTTTCAATGTATTTTTGTATAGCCCTAAATCACAACATCAATATCCCTAACCCAACATTAGTTTTCTCAGAGGACTTGACAAAGCTGTCGATTCACCAACACAGATCAGAGAATCAAATTTGAACTATACCATTCTCTGATCACACAGGAAATGTAGCAGTAAAATAAACACATGGAGTCACATTGGTCCATAAGGGGCCGATGACCAATGCCCATACATTTCGGTGAATGTCGAATGTCCTGGACCGTCACCACAGTCCTTAGACCACCCTGCATATACACTATCTAGCTGTGAAAAAGTTCTGGAAAATATATGACCCTCCACGGATCAGGGCAAAAGAATGTACAGAAACACTGTCATAAAGAGTGCTGGTAGTGTCTGGTGGAAATGGGGAGGGAGAATATGGAGTGGATATTGGATGACCTTCGGGCCGCTGTTCCGGACCCAGGCCAGACTTGGGGAGTGCTGGAGCGGCCTGCTGTTGTGCCGTGTAACTTTTAATAAGCCACGAGAGGCTGCGATGTTCTCTCGGTGGAATAGGAAGTAAACAGTCTTATCTTTGCCTGGCCTGCCAAACGATATGCTTTTTCAAAGACATATAGTCTGGGAACGAGCTTGATCTCAGCGAATTCCCGGTGGGCGTGGTTGACAGACTGCATCAACCAATTAGATGCACACAGGATATGACGCAGCAACTAGCGGCACCCAAACCGTTTCAGTAAACACAAAACAAGGGATGGCGGCATGTCAGCTAGTGCAAATGTAAACGACTGCTGTCGATTTTGTAACAAAAACTTAAAGGAAAAACTTAATAAAGTCACAAAACTGATAAGAAATACAAAAGCTTCCTTTTTCATCAATGTTATAAATAATTCAAAGGGGAATGCAAAGGAAATATGGCAGAATTTAAACAAATTAACAGGAAAAAATGCTAAAGAAAATAAACCAATAAAATTGAAAATAGAGGAAACTGTCTATGAGGATGCAAGTGTAGTTGCCAATGCTCTTAATAATCATTTTGTCGCATCCATACAAAAATTGACAACTCATAACCAATCTAATTTTAAAGTCGAACCTATAAAAATTGATGCTCCCGTATTGACATTCACAGAAGTAACTCAGTCAAAGATAGAAACAATCATCTCATCTATTAAGTCCTCAAGGGCAAAGGATATCTATGATATTGATACCTTGTTTTTAAAATCAAATAAGGTAACATTAATCCCATCCTTATGTAAATTAATAAACTGGTCAATCACTGAAGGATTATTTCCCACTGCCTGGAAAACCGCTGTGATCACACCCATCTTTAAATCAGGGGATCACACAAATATAAACAATTATAGACCAATAAGCATTCTCCCGACATTATCAAAAGTATTGGAAAAATGTGTCTCAGAGCAAATCATTTCTCATTTAAATCATTCACCATTTAAGTTGCATCAAATGCAATTTGGATTTCGTAAATTTCATTCTACCGATACTGCAAACATTTATCTTACAGAGAATATCAAATCAAAATTGGATAGAGGGGGTATAGTTGGGGCCATCTACCTCGACTTAAGAAAAGCCTTTGATACTGTCAACTCAGACATATTAATTGCTAAATTATCTAAATTTAACTTTTCACCTAAGGTGCTACAATGGGTGGCATCATACTTAAAAGACAGGAAACAGTGCGTCAGGGTTAATAACAAAACATCTGAAGTAATGTATAACTCTATAGGTGTGCCCCAGGGCTCAACCCTTGGCCCTTTACTCTTCAGTTTATTTATCAATGATTTACCTGATGTATGTTCTGAAGCATCATGTCAGTTATATGCTGACGACACCATCATTTATGTTCACGCAAAAACGAAACAGCTGGCGGCAGAGAAGCTGTCATCTGTAATGGTGTCAGTCTGTGACTGGTTAAAAAATTCAAAATTACACTTAAATACTGATAAAACTATGTGTATGTTCTTCTCTAAGTCGGCAACTAAAGAGAGCGATCCAATAGTTTTGGTGAATGGGCAAGCACTACAAGTGGTGCAAGAGTACAAGTATTTAGGTGTCACCATGGATTCTCAATTATCATTTAAAAAACATGTTAAGAAATTGAGGAACAAAATTAAATTCAATTTAGTGAATTTTAAACACATTAGAAATAACTTAACAACTGATGTTTCAAAATTATACCTAAACGCCACAATTCTCTCGCATATTAATTACTGTATGACGAGTTGGTCTCAGGCCAACAAGACTACACTGTTGCCCATAGAAAGACTTTATAAGCAGACAGTAAAAACATTAGACAAAAAGAATAATTCATATCACCACTGTAAAGTTTTTACCAAACATAATTTCTTAAAGTGGGATCAGTTGATAATGTACTCTGATGTAATTATGGTCTATAAAACCCTAAATGGACTTGCACCGCCTCCATTACAGGAGTTTATACAGCTGAATGTAAATACAAACACGCGCTCATCAAGCAGAGGAGACTGTAGAATCCCATTTAGAAAGACTTCATTTGGACAATCTGCCTACTCAGTACGCGCAGCACATTCCTGGAACTTGATTCCAACAGAATTGAGGAACCTGACCTCATTTCACATTTTTAGGAACTCTGTGAAGAAGTGGCTTTTGGACAATCAGACATGTGAACACAACATGAACTAAAGTCACCAAACACTGATACATGTCTTGCTGTGGAGGATTTTGGTGTTGTGTATATTGTCCCTTTCTGAATTTTTAGTTGAACAAATTCTTATATATTCCTTGCATTTTTAACTATATGTTGTATTCTTCTTTCACTGTCTTTTTATGTCTCTGTGATGGTGTTTCTGCTGTATGTTTGTGCCTGTTGTATGTCCTATACTACCTATCTTGACATCAACCTGCCATGGGACTACGGATGAAAATTAGCCTATATGGCTAACTCCGGCGCATTTACATGTTGAAAAAACACATGTTGATTAATGTGCACTGTCCCAATTCAAATAAAGAATTTAAAAAAAAAAAAAAAAAAAAAAAAAAAAAGATACGAGGAGTTATTAGCAACTCAAAGGTGAAAGGAAGTCCCGCCTCTCGGTGCGTGATTGGACCGATGTGGGTAAAATCGTGAAATGATAGGCTAGGAAGAGGTGTCCAGACGGTTCTTCTTTTGAACAGAAAGGAGGAGTGTCTGGCAGGCCAGGCAAGTCTTATCTGGGCTCCCATCTCACCCCACATGAGCGAAGCAAACGGAGGGAGTACGCTGGGACGGATTAACATGAGAGATCACAGATAACTGTTCAACAACTTGGCCGTAACAAAGCGTTCAAACAGATGGATTTCTTAAAGGTGCAGTTGGGTACTTCTCTTCATTTTGGTTTCTTGTTTTACTTTATTCAAATATGACTTTTAAGATTAAAAAAGAGGAAACTGTAATCTCGGACAGCAGTAAGAGCACATGAGAAGCACACAACATGTACAATCTAAGTAGCTGCAATGCTTCTCAACTAGCTGTATTCATCTGTTTAATTATTTTATACATTTTTTAAATCTGGCAGGATAATAAGTAGATGAAGTGACATTCTGAAATTGTAGTATTGCACATTTTACCCTCTTTCCTCGATTTGTATTCTTTGGGAGGCGCATGTTTTAATCTTTTGGCCTTCAAATTTCCTTGACTACACCATAAATTGGATGTTACGATCTGACATGACCTAGTGCCGGCACGTCAAAAAAACAGACCATTTTCAATTGTTATTAATATCTATCCATCAATCTTTATTAATAAAGCTCTTTTCATGAATTTCATTCATATATTATAATGATTATAATCAATTGGTTTTATTGAGCGCTTTTTTGGACACTCAAAGACGCTTCACACTCACTTCATACACAGTGAGTGCACACTGCTGCTGTAGCCACAGCTGCCCTGGGGCACACTGACAGGAGCGAGACAACCAGTTTGTGCCATCGCCCCCTCCCACCACCACCACCAACCATTCACACACACACCAGACTCATTCTAGGCAATGGGGGGGAAGTGTCTTGCCTAAGGACACAATGACTTTACAGCCGCAGTCGCGCCTCTGTGGCACCTGATGTTCCCTGAGGTCTCCCATAACAGTTCTATCAAGGTCCCGCCCTGCTTAGCTTCAGAGGTCTGAAGGCATCTGGCTTTCACCTGCAGCGTTGATGGTAATGTGCTACCATGGCACGTTCTACATCATTTCAATAAAACAACCATATTTCCACCATTTAATTTATCACACATTTTTAACCCAATGAGTTGAATAGATAAATACAAATACATTTAAATCTGTCAGTTTTCTATTACATATATTGTTTATATTCGGTCCAGTTTTGGTTCAGTCCAAACAGTAACTGAACTCATTTTGTTCAGAATAATCTAACAGAAAAGAGTGTCCCATTATTTACTTAAGTCAAATAAAAGTAATTTGTTAAATTATCTTCATAATGTACAATACTGATAAAGACTCTGACTGAGTTGGTCAGAGTCGTGGTCGAGGGCACAGTGGGGACACAACGGGGTGTGAGTCGGATCGAACATTCCCTTAATAGTGAGATCTTTGGATGGACTTAAACGCGTGGAAGGATTGATTGAAGGACTTGGGCCTCACGGTGGAACCTCGTACTGACGTGGTCAACTCCGGATAACGGTGAACGGAGGGTCCAGTTCCAGTATAATTTGGACATATTGGCTTTAGTCTACACTGCCTTTCATTGATCAGCTAAAGTGCTTATACAAATTTCCCACAAGGCATGTGTTGTTTTGTCTCCAATGTTTGCAGGCACCTGCGCTATCTTTGTCCTTCACATTCCACCACCGCACCGGCCACTCAAGGCAGACACTGGACTCTATCTAACCCAGACTCACAACCCATAACACCAGTTACAGTCCCCCCCCCCCCCCTTCTACATGTCTGCCTCCCTCTCTTTTCAGTCTATGGTGGTCTTCCCTCCACCTCCCCCACCCACACTCCCCTCTGACGCGCTATATTGGACGAGGCGGGCCAGAGTGATGACTTCCCTTCAAAAAGATCCGCATGTTTTCCACATGTACCGTGTCTCTCCCCATGTTTGTTTGATATATGTATGTTACTGCTCTCTGCTGTTTATTCTACTGTTTGTCGCATGGCGCCGTAAAGATGGCGCCGTGGCAAGAGCTCTGGTGTGTGTCGTCTGGTGCACACTGGGGTAGTCTTGCACAGTTTTTCCAATGTGGTTTTACTGCAAATGGCAAATAAATGAATCTGAATCTGAATCTGAAATACTACAAAATTAGTTTGACACACCTGGACTAGTAATTGGTCCAAATACTTCTGTACTCCTGCTCTCCACTAGAATAATCTTATACAAATGAAACTCGAAATGAATGAAAATTGCATGAGGAGACAAGTGCAGGAGACAAGTTGTTAGATATTTAGGTTTTTATTATTCTGTTCATGGCTGATTGTTTCAAAGGCGTTTTATTTCCGCTAATACGTCTAAATTTCATTCTTAAAAAAGCTCTTTTATCATGCACTGGTGAACGGCTAATTAACCATTCCCCTTCGATAGACATTTGGCACCACATATTTAGACAAACAAGATCAGCTTTCATAATGATATTCACAAATCCAATGTTAACAGCCCCGTTTGCTCCATTGCTCTTGTCAATTTCAGCCTTAGCGCTCATACTCTCTGTGTGCTTTAAAACAGGTCTCTTCGGAGTTTGCTGGACGGGGAGATGGAGCACTCTGCCGCGCTCAGACAGGAGAGCGAGCTGCTGAAGAAGAAGCTGACGGAGATGGAGGACCGACACGAAGCCAAAGTCCAGGCTCTGGCCAGGTGAGGACCACACGCAGAGTGGCTGAACCGCACGCAACCAGATTAACTGTAATTTAATCCATTCAACGCATTGTAATCATGATGCCGGATGCAACACACACAGAAAAATGATCTATAACGGGAAAATTGTCACGTCCTAATTGCTGCTTGTTCACTTTTTAATGTAAGTCAACAGGAGCCAAAGCAAGTTGGAGCATTAGCACATCCCTATTGGGCTTCTCTGAGCTAGCGGGTTCGCATAGTCTATACCAGTGGTCTCCAATATGTTGCTCAGGAGTTACCAGTAGCTCGCAACCCTTTTGAGGCAGCTCCCTAAAAGATTCAGGAATTGGACGCATGTGATCCTACACTATTGCATTTTGAGTCATTGCATCTAATTTAAAACAGCAGTACGTAAAAATCTGGTCAAAAGCGGTACTGCACTTTCTCCAACTCATGTTGCCAGATATGCAGACGAATCCAGCTGGGACGTAATATCTGAATAAAGAGTTTTGTCAAAAACAAATCTATAACGAACACCTTTTTCACAAAGATAGAAATCTTCCTCGTTCCTTGTTTTGTCGTTAAATGATTTGAGAATCATAACGAGACCTTTTTTAGTTCTGTGGCCACATGTTTACCACACTTTACCAGTGACATTAGCTCGACGTGGTGAGTTAGGGGCTGTAAAACTAATTTTGAAATCAAAATATCTCTGAACTACTGTTATCTGTTAAAGAAGTATTGGAAAAGAGCAGGTTTTATTAATGCCTTTTGACAGATTAGGGGCCCTTTAACAATGAGTTGACATGAAAATCTTACATATTGCTACTTTAACTTCATGTCCTCGTAATATTCTCTAATATTGATTTATATTAGGAAAGCACCGATACAACATTGAGTAATAACTACAATGAAATACTACCTAAGTATTGTTCATCTCTAAGTACATCTTGGCTGATTTGCATCCGTGTTCCCACATTCACACTCACAAACACGCACTCATTCACCCTGAACTATTGTACATATTATTGGTGGTAGGGGAAACCGGAGCACCTGGAGGAAACCTACACAGACTCAGAAAGGCCAAGTTCTAACTTTAGCATAAAACAGAAATGTAAAATGCTGTTTAATCTAGTGTAATAAATATATAGCTGTATGTTTACATCTGTACATGTTAGCAACGTGAGAGTATGGGACAAAGTGACTCTGTAAAGTGGCAAAGGAGATGGCTAAAGCTACAGTAGGCTAAATGCTAAAGCTAGGCTAAATGCCTCACTCACTTCGGCGCATTATATACGTCACGGTAAAGTCAGATCCAATCGTTTCAATCTGCAAAAGCAGTTAACCCCTCCTGACCCGTTAACGGAGTCAATGGAAAAGCCCGACACATTTCTCCTAATCATCATCTGAACATAAAGTCTTCAGTGTTTGGTTTCTCAACAGAATCACAAAACTAAGTCTTGACACAGTTTTTGAGAATGCATTTGTTTATTTTTGAGTGAAGGGAAAAGCTTTACCTCATCAAGCGACTCATCGCTCGACAAGATAAAGGAAAGAAGAACTTTCACTTTGGTTTCTGCGCTGAAACACTGAATATCTGAAGTTTAACCTGTTAGATATTCCTGACTAGTTACACACAACTTTAACTGTAAACAATTACTTTGCCAATGAAACAAGAACTTATTTCTTATCCCATTGGCCAAAAGTTCTTGTGTAAATTAAAATGTGTGAAAACTTTCCAGAAACATCTAAAAGCAGGTGGAACCTCTAAAGTCATGTTAGATCCTCTAGATACTAACTATGTTCACACTGAGATCATACCTCCTCAAGTCACGTATGACTCGACAAGATAAAGATCTAGTTTAGTGTTGTGTTAGCGTGATGCTAGCTTTGTCCTGAGCACCACGTCTAACACTAATATCGGTGTTTGTTTTAGAAACACCACCAACTCCTACTCCTCCTCTTCTTCTTCTTGTGAAGCCCGTTGACCTCGTCTTGGAGCTCATGAACCTGGAGCTCCAGAGCAGTGTTGTAGTCCTGAGAGGAGGTCAGGTCCTCAGACAGCTTCTGGACCTGCTGCTCCAGGATCAGCCGGCTCTGTTTCTCTGAACACAGCTGTTCTCGGTGGAGCTGCTGAAGCTTCTCTTTGAGGACTTCCCAGACGTCTCTGTTGCAGGCAGGACTTTCTGTAGTATTTTGCATCTGGTTGTTCTTTAGTTCCTCCACCTCGCTCCACAAAGCCTCAGTCTCTTGTTTCTCCTGGTGCAGGGCCTGTCTGAGCTCGGTCACCTGATATTTCAGACTTTTCTCCTCTTTGGACCTCTGGGTGATCGTGTCCTGGAGGGCCTGGGTTTGCTCGTCTCTTTTCATCACCTCTTCCTCGAGGTCAAATTTGGCGACTTTAAGGTCTGCGATCTCCGCCCACACAGCTTCTCTGGCTTCCTCCACTTGTGCACGAAAAGCAGAAGCCTTCTGCTGTTTCAGATGAGTGATCTCACACTCTTTGGCCTCCAGCTCTTTGAGGTGCTCATTCTGGACATTCTCACAAGGTGCTTTGAAGGCCCTTATTTGCTCCTGTTCAGTCTGAAGCTTCTCTTTGAGCTCCTCTACCAGCTGCTGCAGAGCAGTCTGGGAGGTCTGGGCCTCTCTGGTGGCCTGCTGTTCCTGGTCCAGGGCAGATCTTAGGGCGGACACTTGTGTCTTCAGCTTCTGCGTCTCTCTGTCCTTCTCCTGCAGTTTGCGCTCAGCTTCACTGGTGAGACTCTTCTCCTGGTTCAGGGCAGATGTGAGAGAGTCCAGTGTTGTTGACAGCTTCTGCGTCTCTGTTTGTAACTGCTCCACATGTCTCTGGGCTGTGACTGTGGCCTGGTCTCTCTCACTCAGATCTGACTGAAGTTGGGTCACCTGACTCCTCAGTGACGCCTTCTCCTGCTGCTCCTGCTGCAGCTCCTGTTTGAGATCTGTGATCTGGTCCCTCAGAGCGGCCTTCTGTCGGGACGTCTCAGAGATTGCATCCAGGAGTCTCTGTGCTCTCTTTTCCCTACGGTCCAGCATGATTTCGAGTTTAACGTTTCTTTCAGACAGATTGCGTATCTCGTCCTCCACAGCTTCCTTGGCCTCCTGCACCTGGTCACGAAAAGCGTCGTCAGCCTTTTCCTCTAAACTGCTGATGACTTTATCTTTTTCTTCCAGCTCTTTCTTGTGCTGATTCTCCATGTACTCCATCCAGTGCTCGCACTGAGCCTGGTGGCGAGATTTGAAGGCCCAAATCTCGCCTGGATCCCGCTCTACATCCAGTTTGAGGTTCTCTATCTGTGTGAGAAGCTCTTCCTGGGAGGCCTGGTTCCTCTCCTGTTCCCTTTCCAACTGTAGCTTCAGATCTTGGTTCTGTCTGAGCAGATGTTGAGAGAGGGCCTCGTCCTGCGGAGCGTCCACAGACACAGTGCTATTTATGAGCTGTGTGGGACGCTGCGGCTGGTTCGGGCGTGGCGCCCTGCGCTGCCTACGACGCGGACCGTGGCTCATGTTAATGTTTTCGTTGTGTTTATCCATATTTCGTTGTTTTCGTCTCTGACTTCTGAAGGTGAAAATCTATGCTATTGTCTGAACAGATTTCACTCCCATCAACTGAAACTCCAGGTGGAATCTTAATTATGTCATAATGCTGATGTCATAGTTACCATAGCAACAGCTATACTGTAATAACAGCTGGTTTCCATAGTTACCAAAATTGCATTCACAATACTTTGTAGTTAATATATATATTTATTTCTAGTTAAGTGAACCCTAACTATATTCTGAATGCCAATTAGAGAAAGTAAAAACCAGGCCACACTCTGGACGTTGTGTTTTGAACATCAGAAAATATAATGCAGTAAAAAGACTATATCTTTTGAATACGCTGGAAAATAGCTGCAAGTCCTAAGTAGCTCTGAAACAATTGTTATTTTGTGTTTTACAATTTTTATTTTTATTGCTTTTTTTTCTACCTGAGATGTTGCTGCAGTACAGTGTTCATGGTTTTACACTGGTCCAGACCGGAGCAGAGAGGATTCATGGTCCGAACCAAGATCAGGTGAAAATCCACTGAAGGAATGCTAATAAACTATTTAGCATTTTACTTTGGACCAGAGCAGAGAAAATGGTCAAAACAACCTTGTGACCTGTCCTGCTCCACCCAGAGGCTACTCCACCTCTGCTGCTGTGACCTGAAGAGATGTTACTGATTATTACTATTGTTAGCTTTTTAGAATGATACATTTTATTTTTTATTATTGCTGCTACTGGACAGCTGAATTTCTCTAATGGGGATCAATAAAGTATCCACTCTCCTATCCTCTCTGAAAATGGCTTCATAAAGACCTCTGGAGTTTTTCTGTGGCCTCGGTCTTAAAAAAAACAGGACAGAGTTTTGTAAAACATTAAGTCTGTTCTTCCAGCATCATTTCACCAAAAAAACATCTTTAAAATAATCTGAGTTACTGAAGTAACAAGAACAGAAGAAAAGCTAACGCTCCGTTTAACATTTCACAAGTGACACAATTCACAGGAAATAATGACTTGTATACTGTCGTGTGGCAATAAATTATAGTATCAAAAAAGATGAGCGTTATGCAGTTTGAAAATATGTGTTCCAGTGAGATTTCAACTAGGGGCATGACAATATATCGATTTTTTGATATATCGCGATACTTTCTCTCGCAATTCGATTATCGATATGCATTTGCCAAGTATCGATATCGATTTGAATAAAAAAAAAAATTGGTATCAATACTTAATATATGGCTACATTACGCATATCCATTCTATTTATCATGAAATAAAGAGTAATTTTTCTTTTATTTATGCCATAAATTGGCATATTTTATATTTCTGACCAATATATCAATAATCGTCGTATCGTGATAAAATCGTTATCGTGATATCGTTATTGTGATATTGTTATCGTGATATCGTTATTGTGTTATCGTGATATTATCGTTATCGTGAGCTTTGCATTGTGTATCGTATCGTATCGTGAGG